AACAGAACATGGGAACACTGAATGTTTTAAAATTAAAAAAGGTGTGCGACAAGATTGTATTCTTTCCCCATACTTATTCAACCTGTATGTTGAGCAAATAATCTGAGAAGCTAGGTTATATGAAGAAAAACATGGCATCATGATTGGAGGAAGATTCATTAACAACGTGCGATACGCAGATGACACAACCTTGCTTGCTGAAAGTGAAGAAGACTTAAAACATTTACTGATGAAGATCAATGAGCACAGCCTTCGGTATGGATTACATCTCAATGTAAAGCAAAAACCTATATCCTCACCACTGGAACAATCAATAGCATTCTTATCAATGGATAAAAGATTGAAGTTGTAAAGGACTTCATTCTTCTTGGATCAAGTATCAACACTCAAGGAAACAGCAGTCAAGAGATCAAACTACGTATTGCATTAGGCAAATCTGCTGCACAAGACCTTTTAAAGTGTTGAAGAGCAAAGATTCACCTTGACGACTAAGGTGCACCTGACCCAAACCATGGTATTTTCAATAACCTCATATGCATGTGAAAATGACAGTGAATAAGGAAGACCATAGAAGAATTGATGCTTTTGAGTTATGGGGTTGGAAGAGAATATTGAATGTGCCGTGAGCTGCCAAAAGAACCAGTAGATCCATTTTGAAAGAAGTGCAGCCAGAGTCCTCCTTGGAGGCCAAGATGGCAAATTTCATCTCTCATACTTCGGACATATTGTCAGGAAGGACCAGTCGCTGGAGTAGGATATCCTGCTTGGTAAGGTGGAGGGTCAGAGAAAAAGAGGAAGTCCCCCAGTGAGATGGATTAGCCACGTGGCAGCATCGATGGACTCAAGAGTGGCAACAGTGATGAAGTTGGCCCAGGACCGGGCACTGTTTCATTCTGCTGTGTATATGGTCGCTGTGGGTCAGTACTGACTTGAGGGCACATAACAGCAACATACATCTAGGGGACTTCTGGTGTAGTGCTGTCAGATAAAAACTTGACTGCTAAGCAGAAGGTCAGCAGTTCAAACCCACCAGACACTCCTAAGAAACCCTATGTAGAGTCATTATGAGTTAGAACTGACTTGGCAGCACTTAACAACAACATAAACATCTAGGAGTCCTGGTGTGGCGCTGTATTGATAAACACTAGACTGCTAACTGAAAAGTTGGCAGTTCAAACCCATCATCCATTCCTGGAAGTCCTATACAGGGTAATTATGGGTTGGAACCAGCTTGATGGCACTTAACAACAGTATGCACATATATGCCAAGATATATATATATGTATGTTGTTGTTGTTGTTAAGTACCATGCAGTTGGTTCAGACTCATAGTGACCCTGCACAGGGTTTCCGAGGCAGTAAATCTTTATGGGAGCAGAAAGCCTCATCATTCTCCTGCGGACCGCTGGTAGTTTCAAACTGCTGACCTTGAGGTTGGCAGCTCAAGTTGAAACCACTATGCTTCCAG